TCAAATCTCTCCGTTCCTTGCTCAATAACCCTTTCATTATAAGCTTCCTGCTGGGAGGGCCTTTGAGCCAAGGCTTGCTACCGAACACGCAGCACGCTGCCTGCCGGGGCGGCCGCCCCGCCAGCCACAGCCACATCCCTGCCCGATTGCTGCCTCTGACGAAGCAAATCAGAGGGTGGGTATGGCTTTTCTCCCCCGCCCCCCCCTTTTTTTTTTCCTTTGGAAGGAAGAAACAAGCTGTTCTCTATGGGAAACTAAACACATGCTGGAAAGTGCTCCAGCAGCTTGCAGAGGCGGCCAGCAGCAGAGCGGAGCAGCTCTGAGGCTGCCGTTTACCTGCTCATTACAGACATAAGGGGAGCAATTTGCTCACCTGTGAGGTAGCTCCAAAATCTGCAATGGCCTATAGGAAACTCCCAAGATCTATGGTTTACATGAAGGAGACACTTGAATGCAGGCATAAGCCCAGCAGCAAACTCAGAACATCGACAAGCACTTGATTTTCTGGAGGGAAGGCAGAGAACTAAAATTGGTCCAGAGAGCTAGCAGAGTCTGCTGAAGGGGTATATACAACCTACCACGGCTGCAGTCCTTATCTAGAGCACACAAGTCCCTTATTTAATCTGCAAACACAAGGAATGTCCCAAGCTGCCTCTGAGGCCCCTTCTCGGCGCGCTCTGCTCCGGAGCGGCAGCCGCCCGCGGCTCTAGGCGCTCGGCAAACCCGGCCACGCGAGCTGCCCGTGCCGGGCTCCAGGGCAGGCTGTTAACAGGGCACCACGTGCCCACGAAAGCCCGATGCCTCTCGGGCTGCGAGCACCAAACCCTTCACATTTCAAGTGCCTCTAATGCAGCTCTTGCTCCCACACCGCCACAGCCAAAGTCTGTGACCTTTTGGCAGCTTTGGAGCAGCCACACCAGTTACTGTGTTTGCAGATTTGTCAGCAATTGTCCTGCTCCCCGGGGCTGCACCCCAGCAAGGACACGGGCAGCCCTCCTCCCTCCCCAGCACACGCACCCAGCACATCAACGGGAGCAGGACACCCAGCACAGTTCTCCCCCAGGACGAGTTATGCTCTGGTTCCTTCTGCACCTTCGCTCCCCAAGGTTTGGTTTTCTCCCCTCAGCCCCTGGGTTGTCATGTATTTATTTGCTTGGCATGGGGACAGGTGACACCTGATGGGGCCAGGGCAGCCAGCAGGACATTCGACTCCTCAGGGGGTCACAACCCAGACCCTCTTGCTGACGAGACCCTCTCGCTGCCTAGACCACACAGGTGGCTGCTTGTTTTAACACTAGTGTCCAAACAAAAAGTCCTACTGCTCTTTCACTGATAGGGAGAAGTGAAAAAATCTTCCCCACAGAGTGAAATTAAATGTTTTAAATCATAGGGAAAAACATTACAATTACGGATTTGCAAGCAATTGCAAGGACACGATGCTGCACCAGAGCCACACCACCACCCTGGGGACAGGGTGCTCAGATATTTCCAGTGACTGTCGGTAGCCCCCAGGGCTCTGCTTCCCACTCTCGGGGAGGTCATTGCACCCCAACCCCAGGTGCTCTCAGCTGAGCCACCCTGCTACGCTCTTCCTGGGATTTCTCCCACTAACTCCTTCCGTTTGCCAACGGCCTGAGTCAAATCGCATCTTTGGAGCTAAAGCACATCCAGAAAGTTTCAGAGCAATAGAAAAGTCTGCTTAATCCCATGCCTTAGAGGCAGGAGTGTTGTTAAACAAGCTGGTAATGTGCTAATGCAGGGAAATGCCTTTTTTTCCAGCAGGCCTTAGTTCCAGAGGAGTGTTGCTGAACACGACCAGGAAAACAAGCCAGTGGTGCAGAGGCTCTGCACGCTCGTGACGACATTCCTGTCCCGGGGCTGCCACCGCGGTGCTCTCGGACAACCCGGCATATGGAAATCATAGCGCTCGCTCAGCAGCTGTGTTTTTTGGAAGTGACTTCATATTTTTGGATGCTGCCTACCCCATGGAATCTAACATCTTCAACAGCAAATAAAGCTCTTCCTTTCATCGCATGCCACGTTTCCTCCATGCAATAAAGGTGGCAGAGGATTTTTAACTCTCCAGTGACTCCTTTTTACCTCTTTCCCTTCAAGTGCAGGGGCTGAAAATGCATTTGCGAACTCCTGGCATTCCCAGCACAGGGATTTGCACAAGCCTGGAAGGATTTGTCCTCCCACTTGCACCCAGTCTGCACTGACGTGGATCCAGTGACTCACACGACTACTCACTCCTAAGTGAGCCCCTTTCCCAAAGCTACATGTTTCACAATGACAATCCCACCGCTATCCATGTGGCTCTTCGCTATCACCGTGTGCGAGGGCTTGCCTTGGACAAGCCAAAACTCAGGCCTAGCCCCTGCCCCGAGGTCTGCAGGAAGAGCAGAGCTCAGGTCACAGATGCCAACAGCTGCTCCTGCAGCCGCCTGCGATTAAAACACCCATTAGTGTAAAATATCATGAAATAACCATGAACTGCTCCAGGGAACGAGGCCAGGAGCGAGGTGCGGGCCTGGGGCAGACCCTGCTCATGGAAAGGAGCATCGCCAGGAGCAGAGCCTGGCCCAGCACCAGCCCCTGCCTGCACAGCCAGGCAGACATGGCCCTTTATCTGTTGGGGAACATCCTCCACAAATAAAGAGCGAATGTTTTGTCAGAAACAGCAGCCATGTGCACGCATGGCCACAGTGTCTCTGCCGGCCCAACTCCTCAGTCGGCAGCTCTCCCGTAGAAAACAGCCGGGTCTTTGCAAACACCAAGTGGACTTTCACCAAACATCACTAACGAAGTGCAGGGCGGCTGCTCCGAGCCCTCACGCTCAGCGCTGGCCCCAACATTTCCTTTCTTTCCCAGTTTTTTCTTTTCAAGTGTCACGCAAGCGAGACCCAGTGGTCTCCAGCACTTTCCCAGCTCATACACAGCAGATCCAGGGACCATATTTGCCAAGAACCAATACAGAAGCAGTTGATTTAATTATTTTGGAGTAACATTCCAACGCATGTCAGGGTATCCAGCTTGTTTCCATCCTTGCCTGGAGCTGAGACTAACAGCTGATTTCACAGAAGGGGCTGAGGGTCCAGATGCTCAAAATCGTGCCAGCTTCATATGGAGCTTTAAGGATATACTTGCTTTTTAAGGTCCCCAGACAACTTATTTGTGTCTTAAGGCATCTGTGAAAGTGGGAGATGTCCAGGTGTTAGTTATTAACACTCAACACCTTCATGCCAGATAGACAGACCTGAAATAGCAGCATTTTCTCCTCAAAATCTCCATTAAAGACATTCAGTCTCCAGTTTCCCCTACACCAAGAGCACTGCTTAAACCCACTTCTATTAACCAAATTGTGAAGCTCAGCATGTAATCATGGAAAAATGCCAACGTAATGATATACAAAAAAACCCAAAATGTTACAACATTTTTAACTAGCTTAAAATTCAAGGAGGCAAGAAAGCTTTATACAAAAAGATTATGAGCCCCACAAGGCAAATAAGAGTATCTAGCAGATGTGAGGTGATTAATCTCAAATACTTTCCTGACAGTGAGCATTGAGGACTGGGGGGTTCCCACCAGCAACACCCCAACTGCAGCAGTGCTGGCCCAACCAAAGCAACAGCATTTTCTTGTTCACACTCCATCAGACTCAATAAAGCCTCAATAAAAGTCATTGCTTAAGCAAGCACAGAAAAAAAAATACACTAAAACCTTCCTCTATCTACTTAGAGGATACGCAGAACACCCACAGAGGGAACACAAGGCATCACTGAAGGAGCAGGAAAGCACTTGAACAAAAACCATTCTGTTTATCTGCAGGGGTGCACCTGATTTGCAGAAGATTCTGCTCTGACACTTTCAGCAGAGTTTCATTAGCTCCTAAATGGTAAAAACTCAAGCAAAGCAGATCCCTGAAGCACCCATGGGAGCTCAGCAGGCACAGGGACCAGGCAGCAGGAGCAGCATTGACTTCCCTGGGGATCGCTTGTCCACAGGGTCCAACTGCAAAGGCAGCACCTGCAGAGCCCAGCACAGAGGGCCACAGGACAAGGGCCACGACAACAAGCTCATGGAGCAGCAACTTGTACTGCAGGTCAAGAGAAAGCAAATGACACTGTGCAAGGTGCTCTTTTCCACCCACACTTCATGGAACACCATAAGGGATGGCTGGAAAACAGGCCAGTCCTTCCATGGTGCAACCTCCAAGTGCTTTCAGAAAAGTTACCCAAGGTGGTCTCTTTTCTTGGATAAGCCAAGCAGGGAACTGAAAAATGCACATACATATAGATATGTGCATGCATATATATGTATTTGTATGTATGCATGTACACTGTGGTCAGCCAAGAGGAAAGCAAACAAGGATGGCCAGCAGGGTGTTTCTTGGCTATCTAAGGTACTAGCAGATCCCATGGGCAGCTTTTTCCTGTGTTAAAGCAACGCAGTGAAATAAAGGTCAGGAGGGAATCGGGCTCTGCTGCTTCCCACAGGCAGGTAGGTGGCTGGGGCACAGCAGCAGCCCCCAGCATGGGATGCTGCAGCAATCCAGGTCAGGAGATGCCAGGATTGTTGGGACATTCCAGCCTTTCATCCAGAAAGCTAGACCCAGCTACATGACCCAGGCAACCCATGGGATAACCTGCTTAACCTCAAAGCTAGGCTCACCAGCTATTCTGTGCATTTGCTGTGATAACAGGAAACCTCCTATCAGAGGAAAAACAAATACGCTGATTAGCTCAATCCTAAAGCACACAATGAGCTCAAAGACCACCAAAATGGATGATTGCTTGAGTTTAACGAGAAGAGACCCAAGCTCCCTCCAGATCCACCTACATGCAAACTCAATACAGACATGCACAGAGCACACCTTGACTTTACTAGTGCTCCTTCCTAAACTGAAATTAAAACCAAATGACTCAAACATAGCAAGAACTTCATAGAATGAGCTTCCTTCAGAGAGAGGAAGGAAAACAGAAAATCTTGGTCTTACCAACCTGTATATTCCAGGGGCAGGAGAAGCCTCGAGTCCAGCATGAGCCTGGGCTAACTTGCAAATAGCTCCACCAGCCCCTTGAGCTCATTATAACTCCCCTGAGGTGGCCAGCAGCTGCACATAATTGAGTTAATCAACTGAGAGTCTAATCACTTTCATTCAAAGAAGAACAAAGAAAGTGGTGCTTGTGATTATAAAAGTGCCTTTAAAAATAGTAGCATTTCTTGAAGGGGGAATATTAAGGGTTTTTTTTTTTTTTTTCCTTCTCTCTCCCCTACATAGAACTCAGAGCTTTTTCTCTGGGACAGAGTCAGAAGCAGCTTTACCCTTAGCTGTGTTCTGCCTGTTGCTTTCTTAGTCTTCCATGTGAAGTCTGCAAAATACCTACAAATACCCTGCAGGATGTCCGAGGTCCCAAGCATATTATAACTTGCAGTGGGGCTCAGCTTTACGGTTTCCTCATTGCCTCCTGAAGTGCTGCATAGGAGAATGTGTTAACTGCTTGCTTAGCTGAAGTCCGAGCCCTGCTCTCACTATCTTGGGAAAAAGCAAATGTAGAAGCCTGATCAGAAGCTTCATGTTATTGGGATAGTCTTGAGCAGCGTACTTGCAACACTCGAATTTGTTCTGCTGTTGTTTTGGATCAAGAGACGACAATATTATGCTAAGGTCCAAAACGAATGAGCGATGCAATCCCTCCCTCTATTGTAAAACCCCACATCTTGCAAAATCCATTTTAATGGCTTATTTCTGCTCCAGGGATTTCAAAATGTATATGGCCACTCTCCAGCCCTTCCTTGAAAGTCATGAAACAAGCCTGTGTTATGTTTTACCTCAGAAACAATATCCTCATTGTATAGAAATCCCTTCCCAAGCCTGTGGGAAAAACCCATCAGAGCCACCGGGAGTTGGGAACCTCACGGTAAAAAGTCAGAGCTGTATCTGAGACAGGGCAGAGGGATGGGAGATGGGACAGTCTTTGGCTCAGGGCCTGCAAGCCTGGGTTGGGACAGAGCATTAGCTTAACTCTGGCTTAACTCTGAGCATCCCTGTGCTCTGTTTGCAGCGTTCTTAAAGATGGAGTCCTGGCCTCCGGGTTGGCTCAACGCATTATTGTGCTGCGTCTCGCTTGCGGCAAATGCAACTTGTTCCTTCACCCCTTGGGGCGAAAGGCACCAGAAAACCAGGGAGGTTTCCAGGAGGTCCAGACATCATGGCCTGAGAAGCTCCTCGAACTCATCTGCAAGAAGTAGCTTGCAGCTTTGGTGGTGTAGACTATATAAAATTTATTTACTCAGTTCTATTTATTTCTCAGTTTACATCGGAAAAAGCAATTGTCAACAGCTTGGGGGAAAACCTTGTTATATATGGGAAACCGTGAAAATAAGGAAGCTTTGTGGTTGTTGCCAATGAGAAGAAGGGAGCACCTGGGAAGCACTCTAGTTCCTTCCTATCCATGTGTGCTGCTCAGGACAGGCTTCTAAATTTGGAGGATTTTGCTTTTCAGCTGCTCTGCTTCAGTGCAGAAAGACGAGGGTGAAACGTGATGACTGTCCCTAGCACAAGGCTGATCACGTCATTTGAAAACAAATAATGTCTGAAAAAATAAGCGTGGGAAAATCAAACAGGAATCAATTCAGTTGATTAGGAGCAAATGGCTGACGAGAAGCGTAGCTAATTAACCCACAAGAGAAAAATTATAAATACATGCAGATTCTTGAGCCAGAAGCTTACACTTGGACATACACCACAAAAATGCTCTAAAATATGGTAAATGTGATGAAGGCGAGGTAGGTAAGCACAGCTCCTGCGTGGGGAAGCTGCCTCTGAGCACTCACTCACCAGCAGACCTCGAAACCCTTTTGCACGACCCAGGGCTGTGAAACCACCGTCCTCTGCCCCCAGCCCCGGCTCTCCTTGGTGCTCCAGGCCACCTGGGAGCAGTTGCTGCTGCCTCATCCCATCCCCACGCTCGGACACTGGTGGCGCTCAGAGCGATGCAGAGCTGATGTCGGAGCAACTGCAGAGCTCCACATCTCCCAGCGGCCGCGTTTCGTGTCGGGGACGAGAGACGCACCCGCAGCGGGGACAAGGCAGCAAAGCAACAGGCGAGACAAAAGCGTTTCCCATCCGCTTTCTCATTCCGCCTTTTCTTAAAATGCCGCGAAAATTAAACTCCTTGACCCAAGGGACACCCTTTGCTGCAAAAATGAATGAAAAGCAAAATTGTTGCATTGCTGCAAATTGTGCTGGGCTAATCCGAGCCCTGTTTTCCAGGAGAAAACGCCTCACTTGGGGGTTTGTGAGCAGCTGGAGCTCTGGCAGTGGGAAATCTCCTTCCATCCCGGGAAGTTGAAGCCGTGGGATGCTGGGCCCGCACGGGAAGTGCTCACAGCGGCACTGCACAGGCCTCCTCTGTCCCCTTTAGCATAGGCTGCTGTATGTGCATAGGGATATATGTAACAATGCTCTTACATATGCAAATAAGCAGAAAACAGATAAAACCCCGGTAGATGGCGCTCAAAAATATCCCAAATTTGCCTCCAGCAGCAATGTAGACCGGAGCGAAAGCTGCTGCCCTGCGATGGAGCCCGGGCTCGTGGGAGAGATGCAGTGCCCTGTTCCCCGAGGCGCCAGCAGCACCGCGGCTGGACCGGGCACCCTTGGGTGCTGTGGATGTGACTGCCATTCCAGCGCCCATCACACCGCAGCCGCGGTGCCCGGGGACCGTGATGCTCTGGCAGGGAAGTGAGTTTCCTAGGCTCTTCTATTTTAAAAAGCAAATGCAGATGCTGGTCTTACTGCAGTGAATTGCTCATCTTGCAAATGTTGACATGCAGTAAGTTGGGGTGGTGTGCTCCACACCCGGACTTTGCTCAGCGTTAGCTGCGCCGGTTCAGTTTCAGATCAGGAAGCAGCTCATCCAGACATCGGACTTTCTTACAAAACACCTTTACTTCTAGGGAAGAGCCTGGGAGAGCAGGACGCGTCTTGGCAAACTCAGCTCCCCAACGAGGTGAACGCTCTGAGCAGGAGGTGCCGCGCGAGGACTCGATCAGACCTCAAGGGCGCCGAGCGGAGCCACCACGCAGGGCGAGCGGCTCCGTGGCCGCGCGTCCCGCGGCGCCCGCGTCCCGGTCCCGCGCAGGAACGGGAGGGTCAGGGCCGCCGACACACACCGGCATCCTGCTGCCTATTATTTCCTGCCCGTGCTGGCGCGGCCCCAAGCCCTAACATGACAGGTGGATGGAGTTCACAAGGAAATCATGTCATGGGCCAGTTTTCCAGGAAAGCTGTTAACTCTCTTCACAAGCCCGCAGGTTCGGAAGGGAAGGCGGCGAGCTGGGAAGGGGGCTGCGCTGCTCTTATTTACCTTAAATCTTATTTATTGCCACCGCTCGCTGCAGTCTGGAAATTGCTTCCTTTCTGTGGGGTCTGCCTCTTCCAGGCTCAGTGCTGCACAAACTGCAAGAACATCAGGGCGCTGTCCCTGCAAGCCCCAAACGGCTCTAGCGTTTCAGCCTAACACCGAATTAAACAAATTTAACAAATTAAATATCCCCTTGTCGCCAGGTTGGCAGAGAGGGGAAGAAACAGGAGGTGAGATTCAACACTGATGCCAAACTGGGATCTTCAGGTAGTTTATGAGAATAAGTAGGATATAGTCAAGGATGTATCCGAAACAAGACTTATATGATTTGTAAAAGTTTCTATCATTCAACTAGGCAATGTACAAATTTGTGTAAAGTCCTGTGGTCCTGTGGTGACTTTATGCATAATGTCCAGCGTTTGCACTGTTATGTCCTTCTTCTGCCTTTTCTTCTGTTTTTCCTCTCAGTTTTTAAAATTTAAGACTTTTTGTCTCTTAGTCCAGAAAGAAGAGCAGAATAAGAGGTGGTAGTGGTCAATTCAAGAAAAGTGCTTTTCAAAAATGATATTTTTGCCACAAATGCAAAGTTCTGGATGCATCAGTAGGACAATAGACTCCAACGGGCTGCACACAAAAGGAAGGTCTAGGTCCTTTCTCATGTTAATAGTGACATCAACAACCTGAATAAAAGCCAAAAATTCGAGTTGATTCTGCAGTTTGAGATCATTGTTCTCTATATATTTTAGCCTGTAAGATTTAGTCCACACAGAAAGTTTTATTAGGATTTGCCTCGATTTTCGCATCATGCAGAGCAATTCTTTATCTGCTACTCTACCCCCAGCTATAAAGCACTTTAGTGGCAAGGATTTATACGATGTAGCTTAAAAGTCAGACAAGCTAGAGGTATCAGAGGGATCAGAAACATCAGCGAAATAGTGATGTTTGGAGATGTCCAAAATCTTTAGAGCTCAATGTAAAAATACATCAGGTGGGAGCTGCCAGGACACACATGGTGGGCTCCATTTCCAACATTTCCAAGGGCTGCAGCCCTGGACTTGGACTTTGGACAGACAAAGCTCAACAAGAATATGGGATATTGCAACAGCCTTCTTTCCGGCCTCCTCGGGATCTTGATGAGACTTTCGGGGCTTTCTAAATGTTTAGACCTCTGCTTTGTGCCCTGGTTCCTATTCCGTAATCATACAGCAACATTGCACATTCAGAGATCTTTGGTAACAGGAGCTCTCCCAAGTGTCCAGGGCAGAGAAATTGAGCTCTTTTGACACAAGTCCACAAAACCAACCTTTTCTCTCTTTTTTTTTTCCTTTAAAAAAAAAGCCTTGAAAATTATGGTATTAGAGCCACAGTCACGTACAACACGTGACAAATTATGTGACTTGGGAATCGTAAATTGGGTGTTTTGACTTGAACAAATATTAAGCATTGTCATACCAAACTGATTATTATTTTAAAATACTGTCCCAAGCCATAACCGGCTTTGTGTACAATAGCAATACAGGGTGTAGTTACAGACACAATTTCCTGTGCTTAGGTTTTGAAATTATTATTTAAGATCCCCGTAACATTTGCCCGGTGCACCAGCGCAATTCCCCTATTAGATAATTTTCTATCCTTGTGAGGGCAATTCTTTGTGCGCAACTACGAGGGCTTTCAGGAAGGGAGAGACAAGCAATTGCGACAATAAAATTTGCATCAGCTCCCACCCAGCCTCACCCAGAACCAAAATACCATTTGTCGCATTCAAAGCCCGTTCACACCAGAAGGGAAGGTGGTTCTGACCGGGAAAGTCATTCTGGTCTCCGCAGGGTTGCATCCTCCAGGCCGACTTTTGCCTTTCAGGTTCCCACGAAAAATACCGAGCGGCAATTGCCGAGTCCCAAATGGCTTCACATCAAAAACTTCAGGGATTGCGTCAAATCCAACCTGGAAACCACGGGCAGGGGCTGGGATTCCTCGCTGCAAATTACCATTTTGTTTCTCTGAATGAAGGGCAAATTCTTGCACGGATGTTCTCTCACCGTTTGGTATGAAGGTGCTTGTGCCTGGGGCCTGTCTCACAAGATGCAGCCCATGCTCCAGCTCAGTGATTTGAGCTGTAGAAGTCCTGTATTGTCTACAGGCAGTCCAGCCTGTCAGTTAGAGGGTGTTGCCGGACACCACAGAGGCATCTGAAGCTTTGCTGTGCCGGGGGATCAGTCTTAACATCTCTGTAACGCAGCCTAGCACTGATTCCCTGCTCTTTAGCGTCTAAAAGCCCCACAGTAAAGCAGAGGCCGGTGCAAGGCCACTGCTCTTCCCTCTCATGGATTAAACATGAGCAGAGATGAGGGAAGTTGCTGGCAGTTGAGTAGCCTCCAGGCAGCAGTCCCCAATCACCCTTATTTAGCCCTCCTGTAAACCTGCTCCCCAAACTCCTTCCCTCCGTTCCTCCAAGTTCACCTTGTCCCTTCTGGCGTGGGGCAGAGCCTCCCTCGCCCCTCTGCAGTCCCTGCACACGCGGCCCAGCACCCGCAAGGTGCCCCGTGCTCCAGCACAGGGAGCTCCTGCGAGGGGCCCGTTCCCAGCGGGGCCTGGGGATGTCGGCACGCGGCTGCTCCGCTCGGCCCTCCACAAAATGCCACCGGGCAGAAGGAAGAGAGACGGAGCCACAACTATTGTGTTCCCAGGGGAGAGAAAATAAACAGTCCTCTTCAGCATATCCACCTTTGCTGATGTCAATCACTTTTCTCATTTAAAACAGGAAAGACGCCACTTTAGTCCACCTGTCGCATTATTTATCATGCTGTGCATTTCCCATGAATTGTCACTCATGCAAAAGCTGTACCTCGTAAGGGGACACCCTAATATTTTTAATGACCTTAAGCAAAGTGATTGACATTAGACACCGGTGTCAGATGTTCTGGTGACGCAACATGTTCTCCCAGCAGCAGGAAAGCTTCCTGCCGTGATTAAGTGAGAGCTATGGAAGTACTAAAATGTGTTGTCAGCTTTCCTCTGATGCAAGTGATTTTATTATAGCGTCTGGTAACCATGGAGTGTGGCAACGCAAATAGTGACTCCAAACATCCCCTCCCATACATATAGCCAGCTCTATTTAAAACATGCGACGCACTTTGCAAATCCAGGGATAAGTTATGGATGTAACAAGCTTAAAGCACACAGGGCAGAGGAAAAGGCGGCACCTAAGCCGGGATGCCGGGTGATTTTGGCAGGAGACGCGCGTGGCGCGGGGATGACCTGCTGAAGGCAGAGCCCTGCTCAGCAGAGTGTCCTGCCACAACCGACCCGCTGCCGCGAGCAAGGGCAGACAGGAGGCTGTAACAGCGGGAAGCAAAAAAGAAAATAATAATAATTAAAAAAAATCACATCAGCCCTTGCAATTCTGGGGTGCGTAGGAGGAAGAAAAAGCAGACTCCAAATATCCCCTCTGCCTTTGGACACCCTCAGAAACACTCACTGAGGTGGACGCCTGCGGCTTAGCTCAGCTCTGCTTGTGCTTCATCCTGGAGATGATGAAATAGTTTGGCTTTGCTTCAGCTTGGGGTCAGCCCCTCGCTTATTCATTACCTGAGAAAGACTGGAAGACTTCTAGAACACAGGGTTTACAGAATCAAAACAGCTCGGGCACATATGGTGGCACCCGAGACTTGCATTTTCACTCAGATTCATAACACTTATCCATGAATGAATTTGCTTCCATGAATAATTATCATTAACTAGACAAAACCAACTATGTCAGTAAGTGTCTGAAGTACTGACCCTATTCTTTTCAATAATAGTTGTTAATGAAGCTGCAAGAAGAATGGGTTGTCAAATCAAAATCCATGGTCTGCTGAGGTTTGAGGAGCAGATCAGTGGTTTGTATGTTCACAGTTACTATCACAGCTGTTGTTCTACAAAAAAAGAAAAAAAATCATGTAGTCAAAGTTGAAGGTACAAGTTATCCTCATAGGAACTGAGAAAAAAAAGAGATTTTCTAAAGCTCTAGCAGCATTATTATTTTAATGAAATCTACTTTTTCATTTTATAGCAAAATAATTAAAAGTGCTAAACCTGGCCACTTTAATTTACAAAAAAAGTCTCACGTATGAAGCTATACTCATACCTCGTTATTTAGGTTAGACAATATAATTACACATTTCTACCTATTCCTACTCAATAACAAAACAAAATTAATATTAGTTTGTTTAAAAAAAAGGGGGGGAGGGTGAAGTACCACAGATGTCAGGGGGAGAGAAGGTTACCTAGAATCTAAGAATCAGCTTATTGAGCAATCTGCAGTTTGCCTGGGTGTTATTGCTTTTTTTTCTGAGCAATAATGTTCTATTATCACTGTCCTATTGTCACGGACAACCTGGACAAAAAACTTGCAGTCACTTCATACACTTCGGCTTCTCCCTTCATGAAATGTCACAGTATTTAAGGAGATCTCTGGCATTTTAAGTCAATTAAAATTATTTTCTTAGTTTTCACAGACTCCATTTCCAACATGATCAGCATGTTGCAGAATGCTCTGGGGCGAGTTATGATGACACTGTTTGCTACGAAGGAAATGATTTTTCCTCTGTCTTGGAAAGAATTACTGCTACGTCTGCGGTGAGAAAAATATTAAGAGCATTTAAGGAGTTTTTAGAGTCTTAATTCGTTCCATTTTCATTCAGTTCATTTCCAACGTTAAATTAAATCCTGCAGTCTGACCTACTGATAAATAGTCAAGTTGATTTACAAGGGCTGTCTTCTGCTCAGCCTCCTCCCGGGTGTCTCTACCCAAACAGGGTTCGCTGATGTGCCACGAGGGCCGTCTGGCTCTCCCGCCTCTTCGCTTTCTTACTTTGCTGCCTAATTTTCCAGCACACGGCGCTCAACGCCAGCAAGAGGAGTCCCAAGGACAAGAGGACCAACCCGAACACCGAGATGATGGACCCATGGGAATTGAAGCTGTAGGCCACGGCGGTGACCACGATGCCGGCGATGAGGATGACGACGCCGAAGGGGATGGTGCAGCGGTAGCAGGAGAGCTCTGCTCCCCCCGTGGCCGCCGTGAGCTGGCACTCGCTGACCAGGGGGATGGTGGTGATCACACAGTCGTTGTTATTGCTCTTCTCAACAGTTGTGGGGTCAGGATGCTTTGGCGCTCCCAGGATCTCTTTAATAGGCTCGTTTGTCATCTTGATTTTCTTGGGTTTGTCAATTCCGAACCTAGAGCAGGCTCTGCTGACCACGTGTTGTGCTGTGGAAAGAAGAGCATATACTCAATTAAAGAAGCATTTACTGTTACTTGACAAATTGGGAGGCATAAGAATCCACCTGGGGATCCCAGGCTCTGACCCTGCAATGGTTTATGTGTGAGCTTAATGTAGTGGATCTGAATCCATCTCATGGTAGTGCTAAGCATGTGCATGTACGAGCATGCACAAGAAAGAAGAGACTCCAAACTTAAGATACTGGGACCCAAATAGGGCTTTAAGTTATATGCTAAAGTCAGTATTTCTGGATACAATTTAGATTTCAATAGAGCTGCATCTTCTTTTGAAAAGGCAAAGTTCACAGGCTGCTTCGGTTTTAAATTCTGCTTCTCCTCACACACACTTAACAATAAATGAATGAATGATTTATTTGCAATAATAAATAAATGATAAATCAGTTGTGGATCAGAGGATGCTGAAGAATAAGCCTGGATATTATAACTTGCCTAATAGTACATATCATACACATCAAAGGATTGCACATAAACTGACTGCAGGAATCAATTTTGATTATACAGCAGATCCACATAGGCAGAAGTAGGTTTAATTGTGTTCCTGCACCCCGAGATGTACTCACCAGCTCCCAGGTGTGCAGAACTGGGACTTAACTAACTAGAGACGTGAGTCGCATCGTATTTTGCAGTCAGTTGTTTCCCTCACTACCAAACTATCTAAGAGTCCTCATCACAGAGTTGAAAGCTGTCCACGGAATAACAGGCATTGTTTAAAATTACAGTAAAATTATATACTTACTTATTAATCTGCTTGTTACCAAAGATGGCTAAAAGTCCTCCTATGAGTGTGCAGATTTATGTCTGTAAGTCTGTGTTCAGAGACCCATAACTGGGGCTGACGTCCGAGTTCTCCAAAGACCCGAGGGAAATCCCACTTTGGAGAGGGAAGCAGGCTCCGGCAGCCGGCCCGGACACCAGCACAGCGGGCAGGAGCCGCTGCCCTCGTTTCTCTCCACACGAGATGCAACAGGGCACAGCGTAGATTCCTGGGCCAAGGACAAATTCCCGGACACCTACTGTGTGACCATCATCCTGGAAAGGACAAACTGCTGCTGATGCTCTAAACCAGCCCAGTTCTCCTCTCTCATGTCTCTGGTCTCTGCTGCCCATCTTTTATGTCAAATTTGCCACCCGTGGGGACAGCAGAGCTGTTCTGCTGTCACGGAACAACAAACCCTTTCTCAGAGCAGTTGTTACTTAGCAAAAAATTTAGATGGGTGTGACTAGGTCTGACTAATCCACATCCACGCTGCTTTCAGGAGGGAGATGTTCACTAAGGGTCACCCATCCTGGTTACATTCCTCTTGTCTCCATACACACACTGTCACAGCCCAACTGCCTCTGCTTTACGGGGAGAAACAGCCTTTGCCTCCACCTGAGCCCCATGCAGCCACCCTGACAGCATTCGGGCTGCAGCAGGGGTCTCAGGCCAGGACACGTGAGCAGTGTATCCCAGTGTATCCCAGTGTATCCCAGTGTGTTGCAGGGTCTCACACTGGGATGCATGAGCAGTGCACCCCAGTGTGTTGCAGGGTGTCAGCTGGGACGCGTGAGCAGTGCACCCTGGCATGTTGCAGGGTCTCACACTCAGAGAGCAATGCACACTCTGCACACTCAGAGAGCAATGCACCAGGGTGCATGTGCTCACTCAGACACATGAGCGGTGCACACTAGGACACGTTGCAGGGTCTCACACTCGGACACGTGAGCAGTGCACACTAGGACACGTGAGCAGCACCCCAGTGCGTGCAGAGGCCGGGACTCTGTGGCCCAGCAGCCCTTCCTGCCAGGGGCAGCTCACGGGACGGCCTCCATCCCTCCCCAGCAAGGGCCCTGCAGCTTTGGCTCTTGTGCACTGTGCACAGCCCAGGGAACAAGGAAGGCTCTTGGCAATGTGGTCATGCTTTTATCACTTTTATCACCTTCCATCTGTGACTAGGAAGTTAATTGCCAGATACTTGTATTCTCCTTTTCCTTTCCCACCACTCCCACCCTTGTTGCTAAGATATATCCCTCCATTGTGGAGAGCCCTTGGGCTTGTGTCTCACCGTCTCCTATAACCGACTGCCCAGGCTCTGCGAGCGAAAGGATTTCACTATTTTTAACACACACAACCAGGCTGTGTCCCACGCCTAGTCAAGGGTCTGTATTCCTGAACCCTAATGTGAGGAGGAAAGCTGAGCTCTGGTTTGACAACACCTTTGTTTGACTGTCCTAAGGACGAACCTTAAGCTCAGGCTTTTACACAGATACCCCAGTTATCTTTGGGGCTCGGTCGTGCAGGGTGCTCGGCACCTCCAGGGAAGGGCAGCCTGTCCCCACCTAATGACAGCAGTTGGCACAGGATATTTGGTACCTCTAAGGGCAGCCAGGGAACCTGATCAGTGCTCATCAGACAAAGCCAGCGTTATCTGGGCCAGCACCTTGGTACCTCGTCCCTAGCTGTGCTTCAGCGCCCTTTGGATCAGCTGAGAGAAACCAGGAAAGCCTCGGGACTGCTCTGTAAGACTATCCACACTCTTTCCTGTATGAGGATCACACCAGGGTCATTATGTTGCTGTGTAACCGATCTGAAAAACACTACAGAAGTTCTGCGTGCGGGGAGAAGTTGACCCCGAAATGCCACCTTTGGGATTCTACCATTACTTGAATTCACTCTGTTCGATGTTTTATTACTAATTTGAAAGAATATTTTGCCTATAAAATATCTCTTTGTTCTAAACGTATTGTAATAATTATTCAAAGCCCTAAATATTTTCTTTACGAACGAAAGAAACAGGGAATCCTCCCACTAACTTGAAAAGGTCTGGGATTATGTATGATCATTTTCAAAGACTTTAACATTTAATCAAGTATATTCATCCTGTCTCCAGGGCCCCTGTCCCTCTGCTTCAGATATGCCCAATATGAATTATATCTCTGTTATCCCATGCAAAGATTTATGAAGAAAGATATTTACACAGCCAAAACACAGATTTAAAAGCCTCCCAAACCAACAAAATTAAGCCAATGGCAAAGTATCAGTGCCTACAATGGGATGCAAGTAGACAGATGCTGATGAAAATACATGTAACAAAGCTCTATTGAAACACTGCAAGTTAAACAAGCAACAGACCCTATTCAAAATGTGAATATTCATACTTCATATTTATATTTTGCATTCACCCCCAGAAAACAGGGCACTAGATCCTCACTGCATGCAAAGACACTTCTGACTTATGCGAACAGGTGACTTGGTTCAGGTTTCAGGGTAAGAAATTCAGGCAAAGATACCAGCAAACACCAGCATCCTCTCACTGACTGCATTAGAAATACTTGCTCAAGGAGCTACTTCCACTCAGAGCAGGAATGTGTTTCTGTGGCAAGCCGTGGCTAACGGATGAAGGTGGAAGTTTTCCCCTGGCTCATGCAATATTCACTGAGAAATGTAGGTTAAGATTTACTGAAAAGACCTTGCACCCCCCCCCCCCAAAAAAAAAACCAAAATTAAACAAAAAAAGCAGCCTCAGCACACACACCTACCAGGTCCAAGCAAAATCCATCGTAACAAATCAGCCAGCTTACGAAGCAGAGAAACTCTGGTTGTCTCTCAACTCAAGGCAGAGTCGGGCAGCAGAAAGAGCCGTCCCAGGCTTTGAAGTGTCAGATGCTGCTGGGCGATGAATCGGAGGCGACAAACTTCCAGCATGGACGTTTCCTAAAGAGGGAAGCATTTGGGGATTAATGAGCCTCTAAGGAACAAAACGCCTTTTGGAAGAGTTTCTGCCGTGTTCTGCCTCCCGCTTCCAACCCAACCAGAGCAGGGGATGTCCCACCTCCCGCTCTCCTGCTTGGCTTCTGCCTCTTTTCTTGGCAGCAGCCACTGATTTCTGGCCTTATGTAAGTTTTTCCTTTGATGATGTGACGTCTGGATGATGAGTGTCACAAGCCAGGCAAGCCCCCAGAAAGAGGGAGGCAGGATATGGGAGTTCACGAGAATTTCTGCAGTTAAAAGTTCATTTGGGTCTGTTTCTATTGCTCACTTCATCTAGGGGAATCAAACAACTAAATTACTCAGAACTCAGAACGCTTATATTTTGTGTCTTCTTTGCCTCCAGTTTCTTTAAGCAAATCACTTCATCACCATGCACTTAATTTTTCCTCGCTGTAAGTGGCAATGACAACATGCTTCCCATTATAAAACCCTTTTAAATCTATTCTGCTAGGTAATATAATCCCCCAAAAAACCTTCTCTTAAAAATCAAATCAAATTAAATTAAAGGCCAACTAATTGAATCCAAGAGCTCAGAGCAATAAACGTGATTCCCTTATATTTAATATCCATCAGCCTTTTTGTTTCCTGACTTTTTTAAACCAAGATTTGTAGCTCGGATAAAGACTGGGCAGAACCTGGAGCAGTGCAGAGTGACGGCTCCACAGAGAACCCAGGGATGGAAACTGTTATCAGCTGCAGAAACAGCTGTGAAATCACCAAGCAGCTGGGTAAAATTATGAAGCAGCAGAGATTTATGTTGCTAATCTTATTCAACATTCCCTTTCTAGATATGATATAATAATAAACTCTCCCCCACACCATTTTTAAGTTATCTGGACTGTGCTAACATTTCATAGGCACAAGCAGCTTCTGTTCTTCTCCAGACACTCCTAGGAAGAAGCCTGTAAGATATCCAAAGTTTATTTAGCTGATCATTGAGGTTGCCTAATAATAAGGATAATTCTTGCCTATCTCCTTGCATATACCCCTGTGCACATAACTAGCCAACAGCTTGGCTCTAGAAAAGTTCAGAGGAAAATATAAAAAGAAAACCTTTCAATGAGTAACCTAGACTCCAGTAAAACAAAAGCAGACCTTGAAACTGTCTTGTAGCCCATACCCATTCCCTGTACAGGGATGGTTGCACTGGTAAGAATGTCCATCCCTGATGCCATTGCGCCCCTGAACCACTTAGCATCATTGTTTGAAAAAGATGAATTGCTCTGTCCACTTTTTACTCATATTCTCTCCCCAAGCTTAACTATTTTAAGCAATGTTGAGTCAAAATTGACTGACAAGGCAACTCCTTACAAACAGGATTTCTTCCTCCTGCTCCTTTTCCTCCCTCTCTCCACAAAACTGAAAAGCAGAAACACATGAAATCTGTAAATTAAACTTGCAGGACACTAATGCTGCAGCAGGTCAGCATTGCTCTCAGGAGCCTGCCCACATCCTACCCAGCTCTGTGCGACTGCAGAGAACTGGCATTTCCTGGCCACTGCAATCCCAGCACCTTTTCTACATTTTATTCAGAGCCAGTGGGATGCAATTAGTTTCCTGCACCCACATCTCGTGCAAACAAGCGCTGCTTTTTTGCTTACGAAAAATGCTAATAAATAGTAATGCTCATGTTTCTAGTTTTGCATTAAAATGACCATGAGGAAGGAAAAAAAAAAAAAAAAAAAAAAAAAAAAGGAGTCGTCCTGCACTGCGGGGAGAGTCAGAGTTTGTTCAGGGTTTAGCAGACGACAGCGACCGTGGGCTCCGTGCGGCGGGACCAGCCCCTCTCCCAGAGCGGCGGCAGCGGCAGCGGCAGCGCTCGCTCCCCCGCGCCGCGGGATGCCCCGCGGTACTTTGCAGCACCAAGTTTTAAGCAAAAGAATTAAGATTCTGGCTCACGCCTTTGGCGTTTTTCTGCCATGGTGGCGGCGGGAGGAGGGCAGCAACCAGTCCCCCTCGCCCGAAGAGCTATCCCAGCTTTGCAAACTGCAGAAGTGCCCGAGGCGCCTGTAAAGCGCCCCGAGCCGCTCGCACCCATCCCCAGGGGCGCGTCCAGCGGAGTAAGGGGGAGCCCCCGGGACCCTGGGGGGAGCCGCGGGGCGCTGCGGAACCTGCTGCGGGGGAGCCGCGGCTGGAGCCGGGGGCAGCTCTGCGGGGTGCCCGAGCGGCCGGAGCGAGCGGCGCCGAGCCGTGCCGTGCCGTGCCGTGCCCACCCGTGCCGTGCAGTGCCCACCCGTGCCGTGCCGTGCCGCGCCCGCCGTGCCTTACCTCACCTCCCCGCCGCCCGGACCACCAGCCCGAGCGCGGGATGCGGCGGCCGCAGCCGGGACTGAAGCCGCCGCCGCCGGGAGC